TGAGGGGAAGATTCAGGAGAAGTTCTAATTCCAAAAATAACCTGGAGACATTAAGACAGAGGGAGAGGTAAGAGGAGGAGGCTGAGCAAGAGGGCGAGAGGAAAAGAGTGAGAATGAGAAGAGAAAAGAGAAAGGGAGGAAAGAGAGTTGTCTATCACTGAGGGAAGCTAGAGCAGGCATTCAAGCAGGGCAGGGACCTGGAGGTAGGAACTGAAGCAGAGCCCTTGGGGGAATGATACTTTCTGGTTTGTTGTCCATGGCTTTTTTATACAATCTAGGACTACCTTCCCAGGGTTGGTAGCACCCACCGTGGGCTGGGCTCTTCTACATACATTGTTCATCAGGGCAATGCCACACCTTCCAGACATGCCTACAAGCCAATTTGTTGGAGCCGATTCCTCCTGGGAAGAGGGAATACTAATTTGTGTCAAGTTGACAAAGATCAACCAGCACAGAGGGAGATAGGGGGAAATGCAGTGAGGGAGGAAGGCTAGTAAGACCCAGGCAGACACATCGTCTGTATATTCCAGGACAATACCACCGAGGGAGAGGTCCTAGAGAGTGTGATCTGCATCATCTGCCAGAGACACTGAGGAGAAACATTGCAGGGAAAGTGCCAATGGTTATGCGAAAGTGTATAATTACCAGGGAACACAACCAACTGGGAGAAAAAGTCCGCCACTGGAAGCAGAGTGATTAGAAGAGCAAACAAAGGATATAGGTATACTGGTCACCTAAAACATAATAAGGAAACCAGTTAAAAAGTCCAAGTGGAAATATGAAGTCTGAATGTAAAACAGCAGAGGTGTCAGAGGCACATGCATAGGGAATGGGCGCGTAAGTGGGCTGCACAGTTCAACAAAGTAGGCTGATAGAGCACACTAAAGAAAATCGTGGCATCAGCACAGGACATTATGATGGAACCATAAAAAACAGCTCAGAATCAGAAGACAGGTCAGGTGGAGAGAGCAAATTGTTAAACGTTCTAAAAAACCTTGTCAATAGACAAGTCCTTGGGGTCATAACAAATATACAAAACCCCAACAACAATGCACATTTCTCAGTTGCATGCTGCTAAAAAAAAAAAAAAAAAAAATTGGGTGCATAAGTCATGGGTGATGGGAAGGCTAAGAGGCAGAATTTCAGTGTGTGGCTTTTCTGGCCCTTCCTCTTTTACTGATGCAGACCTAGCTGGGTCTGATCCACCGCTTGCATGGCTGCTGTGCCGCACTATTCTCTTCATGCTTTGCTAGAATCCATCAACAACTCCTACTTGTTCAAGACAGACATCTCTACACCACTGAACTGTCTTATGGCCTGCATTGCTTAGCACAGATACTGCAGGCCAGCGTGGCCAACTAAAATACAATTAGAAGCTGAAGAGGATTACTTACCTTTATGAATTTCATCACATACAGAAACAAATTTCACACATAGGACATAGGTCAACAATGAATTTGTCCAGAAAATATGAAGAACTCATTTCCAAAATACTTAAGTAAATGTCTACATGCTTATGTACTGCTGAGACAGGAAGGAAATGGTTTTGATCAGCTGCTTATTCTTTTCCCTGTGACTGCATTAGGAGAAAAGATAATCAGACTCCAAAGTCTCATGATTATTACCCATTGTGGTATCATCCCCACTTGGTAAACCCTACATTAAAACCGATTAAAATGAGCTACAAGACTTTGGAGGGGTATTATAGGATTTTGATGGTTAGTAAGACATATTTTGAGATTGATGCTCAGAAGACTTCCTAAGTGTTAAGACTACTTCCTCTGTCCCTGTAATGCAGTCAACTCTGCAAGAGCAGCAAACCACTGAACGGAGCATTTTCTTCAGGTCACTACATAAAGACTATCCTAACCGTCTGTCATGACATTAAAACAATACACAACTGGGAGGGATTACGGTTTAATCTCTTTGGTAAACATGAAAACAGTCATCTTCATGGAGATAGAATGAATATTAACCCTCAAACATCTACTAAGATCAAAGAACTCTCCACCTCCACCAAACGATAACTATTTTTACTTTCAAGAGAGACTGAGAGGACTTACACGGAACTGGTCCCTGGGGAAACTTGGAAAGCAAATGAAGGAAAGTAAGGTGAGAATTATTCAAATAAGGTATTCACACACCGAAAACCATCTGAAGCTTGGACCTGCAATCTCAGATGGTCTGTTGTTCAGCAGCAGCAGCAAAGTTGCACAGGATTTTGTTGGGGCAAAATCTCCGGTTTAAATCTAACCCTGCTGATACAAGCACACCACGGATCTTAGTAACAAGATCCTCCCACTGGGGCTGTACCCAGAGCAGGAGTCCCAGCTCCTAGGGAGGCTAGACCAAGAGGACTACGACTGCAAAACATTTTCCAGGGTCAAAGCATGTTCACTGTCGTTTCTACGTAACTTTGTGAGACTCTGTCTCAGAAGACAAAATTCAGAAGTTCAGGAGACAGCTCAATTAGTGAAATAAGCCTGTAGGTAGGGTTGGAAGGGGTGTGAGGCACGCCTGTCATTTAGAAAATTTCAGGGATTTAGATGCTCCCTGCCAGGCATGGAGGATAACAGCTAATTTTAGATAGGGTCTTAATGAGAATTCTGACCTGTCTGGATTACCTATAAGTTAAATATTATTGCTAACATGATTTATAGTTCTTGGAAAGACTGTGCTGCTACTTTTACATATTAAGAAGAAAAAAGAGGAGCATGACATAGCAAAAGTCTCAATTTTCCAGTATGTCTTTGGGTTAATGTTCTTGTTCTTTGTTTACTCCTGTATGACACATATTTATTGACAAAGGGATAATGTGAAAACAGCTGAAGAAATAATCGGTATCCACGTCTTGCTTAAAACAAATAGATCTATACATAAATGAACCAAATGATTCTGGCCTTTGTCCTACAAATTCTTTACTTAATATTTTATCAGTTAGTATCTTTATTAAAGTGAGCTATCATGAAACAACCCACTGGAAATGTCTCTCCTGTTCTAGAGGCTGAAGTCCAAGGTCTGCTGAGGGCCTCCTGGGCTGCTGCTTGCCAATTTACTGGACCTTCAAGTGATGAAATAAAGGGAGGTTTTCTGAGTCCTCTTAGCAAGGGCAACGGTACCATTCATGAGTGCTGTCTCTATAGTTTAACCCCTTCCCAAAGGCTCGCCCTCCTAGATCATTGCTTTGGAAGGCAGAATCCAATATACTAATTTCGGACGGGGCAGAACTTCAGCCACAACACTCATCTTATTAGTGTGGGTACTTAGATATTCATAGTGAAGCCAAATGAACTAAAAACCAAACAAGCAAACAACTTTGCAGTATAAAAACTGGCAGAAGTCACTCAAGGTACTGCAGTAGTATGTGATCTGGAGCTACTGAGTACTAAGTCAGCCTCTGCAGCGGTGGAAATGTGAGCAAGAACAATCCCATCCACTTAGGTGACACATGACATTGACCAGGCTGCATGAAAGACAGCTGTTACACTAGCCATATTCAGGAGCACCGACCACTCCAGCTTCCTCATCTGGAGAAGGATGATACTTACCCTCAGTGATGCAGTTAGGCTACAACAAGCCACCGTGTGTAATAGTCGCTGGCACACTGAAACACCTACAATTGTATTTTTAATTCTCTTATTTCAGTGCTTGCGATAAAACAGTATCAGGAAAGGTATTACAAAAACCTGGCTCAAAACACACATTCAATATTGTCTTCTTAACAAAATTTGTTCTATTACTTTAGAACAAATACATTCATACGAATGAGGTGAAGTTTACCTTCATCTGATGGGTGAAGAAGCAAAGGCTGTGCCATGGTGACAAGCAGACTTCTAAAATCAAGGCTGAGATGATGAGCTGGCAACAGGCAAAAGGTGCTATGTGAGGAAAGTAAGAGGGCCAAAGGATGTTATTCTATTAAGGACTGGGAAAGCTAATGAGTCTGAAGCACAAATGCTCACCATTCCAGGAGTTCAAGACAGCATGATGAAGCACAGATTTAAGTTTTTTTCCCACTTAGAATAAGGGACCTATAAAACAATCATTATAATATTTGATGACTAAAATCCAAGCAGAGCTCCTTACCTTAGACACTTCCATGATGGCAGGCTCGGCCAAACATACAGAACAAAGAACAGGTTAAACATCCATTAAGATATAACAGAATTTTAAGAGTAACCATCACAGAACGTGATGGTCACCATTAGCATAAACACGATGGGTATTAATCACATTGATTAGGCTGAAAATGAAGAGTAACAGCTTTTATACACACATGCACTTCTGTGAATGCACGTGTGCATGCAAACACATGCTGTGAGCAGGCACACACACGTAGTGAGCAGATGCATATAGTAATTATAAAATGCCAGCTGAAAGGCACCATGCCCCAGCTTAGGCTCAAAACTATCCCAGTAATATGGCTCTGTTCTGAATGTTTATGTTCCCATATTCACCTGTCAAAATCCTAGCTCGCTAGTGGCAGCATCAGAAGACTGAGTTTTGGGAGTAGAGACCTCATGATGGGATTAGAACTCAACACCTGAGGACACAGCAAGCAGACACCATCTAGAAAGCAGGAGGCAGCCCTGTAGGTTTGCTAGCACTTTCAGTGTGACCTTCCTAGCACCCAAAACTGTCAGAAAAGAAACCTTGCTCTCTCTAAGTTATTCACACTGAGATCTTATTAGCAGCTGAGAAAAAAATGATGTCCAGGTCTGCCAAGTCTACCTATGTTTCTTAAATTCATCCCACTTCACCTCAACCCTTCAAACCAAATTTTATCCTTATATGACGAATTAGGATAATTTCATATAACTTAAGATGTTAACTTCTGTCCTTCAAATAAAAAAAAAAATCCAAATTAAACCCAAACACCACGCACACTATGACTTCACCCTGTGCATACAGGCAAAGATGCTTTCACAACATTTTTATATTCTGAGTGAAAAACCCAAGTTTTAAAGTGCACATTAAGCCTTCTGCCCATCTCCATTTTCTTCAATAACAAATTTTATTAAACATCATTTAAAAAAAAATCACAGGATAATTTTATTTATTATAAATGAATGCTATTTTCTCTAACCTTTAAATCATTAGTTCACTCTTATAACAGAGAAACAATTTAAATAACACCACCAACATGGAATTTAGTTGAAACAGCGTGCTACTACAGAGCACCGTGCTGTGGGTTGGAAGGATTTCCAGTCAGTCTTGCAACATGGCCTGTTTCCAGTGAAATGTTCAGGACACTGCTATGCAGCACTTCCCTTCATACTGTCTTTATTGCAACATGTCCTACGTGTGGGCTCTCGGTCGTTTCGGAGTTGGTCGAAAGTGTGTGTTCTGCAGAGGCTGATGCTACAGAATCTGCTTGTCAAGAGAGCAGCTTTCAAAGCCTTTGGTTTTTATCACAAGCCTTTGGGAAGTCAGTTAATGATTGGTCCCTTAGAGGTGTAGCTTATGTAGGCTAACACAGTGCTTACACAGTCTGTGCAAACGTCCTTGACTTTTTCATGTCCATGGTTTTGTTCATCAGATTGTACACGGATGGCAGTCTTATTTTATCCATATTTTTGCTATAAACATTGAGAAATATGCCAAGGACAACCAACAAGCCAGACCACACATACCTAAAAGAAAGAAATGAAAAAGCATTTACTAAAATTAACAAGGTAACACTTCACTGTTAATTAAGGCATGTAGTAGTCAGTCCATAATAACTTCAAATAAAAACTTGCTAGTAGAGGTCTAAAATAACAGTAGAAGAATCCTATTTTGGATTGAGAGGGGAGAGTTCACAAGGCTTGTTCCAGTTTGCTCTGCCCTGCTTTCTAGACTGCGTCAGGAGCTAGGGGACTGGCAGTGGATGGACGCGGAAGAGTGTCAGTTTCCCTTAGGGATGTAGCCGCGGGTAAGTTGCATATGCTCCTGTGCATGGTGCTACAACCAACCACACACAGCGCCAGTCAGACTCAGGAGTTAGCCAACAAGTACTTTAAGCTGGGATAGCAAGGTGGGGTGGGAGAGGAGAGGAGGTGTTACAAGAGGAAGAACCAGGAGATGGATTTAATCAAAATTCATTGTCTAAATGCATAGAAGTCTCAAAAAATTTGTGCTAAGTATTTTTATACAGAGAAAAGTTACTGAATGGGAGAGCAATTTGAACTTTGGAGCTATTGGCATATTCAAAGTCTAACCCTTACCAAAAGGCTTAAGAGTATATTTAAAATACCAGATTCCTATCTATCAAAGGCTAGACTGTACATCAACCTAGCACTCCAACTAGTTTCCAGTTAAGTGGAACACAGATGATAAGAAGGACAGTCTGCAGGAAGCAGAGGACACCATAATTTAATTACTGAAATATTGTAGTATGACAGGCAGAAAGAAAAGTTATGTATAGACAACCACCTGTAACACCCTGACGGGATTTTATTTTATAGTTTTATTTATTTATTTATTTTATTTAAAATTATGGATTTGTAAACTCGGTTTGAAATTGCAGTTACTGACTTATAATGTTCAAATGAATTACTTTCAAACACATAATAGATAGTAAAAAGATTGCTGAACCCTTTCACAAAACCCCACAAACTAAATCATTAGGATTTAACTTACAGACTATCTTTCTATTGTTTATTGTTGTGGAAAGACTCTATAAATAAAGATTTTACAGGCATGAATTCTGAACATGTAATTTATATATCTGCAAGTGAGAAAGAAACAGCCTTTGCTCAGCACATGCATCACTCCAACTCCACCAGAACCATGCACCTGATCAGTCCTTCTGCAGCGACTCCGCTCTGCCACACTGGCACACACACCAACAGTCAGTCAGTCATACTGGAACACACACACCACTGTCATTCGGTCACACTGACATACTCAGCCCATTAACTGTCAGTCCTGGAACAGACGCTTCACTCCACTCAGGCACACTGGACAAGCATCTACTAACAGTCATTCTGCATCACATACTCCCTTCACCTGCAGTCACATTTCAACAGGACCACATTTCCATGGGCTTTAGCTAGGCAATTTAAGTATATAAAATGACATTCAAAATAATTACTTAATTATAAAAAGTCTTAATAGCAAAAGATACTTAATAGGTAAGAGATTAGGATGAAAAGATTCTGTGTAGAGGAAAATAGGCTAACATATTAATGTATACATTAACACAAAGTAAAAGTTAGAAAACAGTTTTAAGACAAAATATGAAATACAGTATCCACATTTTGAGAAACTTGTATTTAAAAATACTTACTGAAACGTGAATGGTTTAGCAAAGAATATAAATGAAAGGACTATGGTCATTGCTTTTCTTCCTGTTGTCACTGTAGGGGAAAGATTTAGATGCACCTTACTATCTTGGCAATACTTGGAAATCATTTATTCCACAAATATTTATAGCTCTGTATATGCCAGAATCACTAAGGTACCAGAAACAATGCAACCAACCAACCAACCAACCAACCAACCAACCAACCAACCAACCACCCACTAACCAAATTCATGCTGCTTCAGAGGTAAAGCTTTAGAGAATTGGTATTGATCTAATCAAATGTCTAAGCACAACTGTAGTATGTGTTCATCAGCAGCCATAGGATGCTGTAGTCATGAGAGCCTTTCCCATGTAAGAAACTGTTAGATAAAGCAAGGGTCGTCCATTAAAAATATTGAAAGGTTCACTAGTGTCCGAGTTTTTTGTTTGGTTCTGAGACAGGTCTTGCCCTGTCTTGCTGATCCTGCTCCAACCTCTGCATGAGCTTCCAAGGCATGCTCAAACAATGGCTTACAGTACTTCGTCATGGTGACCTCTGTGGATGGTCCTGCTCTTTGCACATGTGTATAACACTTCCTCCTCCCACGCTGGTATTAACCGTCAACCTCCGCTGTATGGCCTGAGACAGCCAGGCAGAGGAGCCACCCTTCTCCATCCTAGCTCTCTACACTCACACTGCTTCTTGCAGTGACATACCTTATTCTCTTGCGTCTTGCTATACTAGCGCTCCTGCCACTTAACGTGCAAGTGGGAGTGAGTAACTAAAGAACTGGCCCTGGGAACACCAGTCAGGGCCTGATCGTCAATGACTGTTTTTCGGGCACCTATTTGTGCCGGGCATATGTTCCTGTCTCTCCTACACTTGGGTGCAGTCATATGACTTAGGCTGTGGCCAGGAAAATATGGGTACTTGTGCTGCTTTGAAGAATATGGCAGCTTGGAAGGTTTCCACCCAGAGGACATTATATCTGTCATCTTTCAGACTCCATTCAGCCGTCCAGCAGGAGGGTGTGATGGCAGGGAGGGAACTGAGGACCGTGGTGAAGACCAGCAGCTGTGGAGCCAGAAGACTTCATGGAATGCTGATTCCAGCAGGCTGTCACCCAGGCCATGTAACCTCACCACACTCACATTATCGTTTCCTGAGTTTATGGTGCCGGCTGTTAGGACTGAGGTGAGACTAACATCCAGAATGGTGTCTAGCACACAGCAAGGGCTCTCTGTTCTACCTTTTATTTGACAGTGAAAAAATCTCCTGCCTCCATCATGGAGGCAAGTGTGCATTTGCAGCTCTGGAAAGCGAAGCAGCACATGCAGTTATGGCTCCCCTCACTCTGCTCTACGTTTCTCTAAATGCATCAAACACAACCATCGTTCCTCTACAATGCAGGCACAGACACATTCATCCTTGCCCAAGAAAGAAACTGATCTGGGGCTAGTGTCAAGGAGCTTCCGCATGAAAGGCTCACAAACCGTAAAATGCACCTGCCATGGTTTAAGTGCAACAAAAACTGGAATTTCGGCAATCAATTAAAAGTATACGAAGTTAGTATTTTCCCTGGAGGGGTTTCACTCCATCATAGATTTACAGCAATTTTTTTCTAATGTGTTTAATGTTTTTCATGAAAATGTATATATTTAACATAAAAATGAAGCCTTCGGGCCAGGGATACAGCTTGGTGGTGGAGTGTGTGCCCCGCATGCTGAGGGCCATAGCTCTATCCTCAGCACTGCACAAAGGAAAAAAAAAACAAAAAAACAACAGAATCTTCAATACAAGACATTAAAAACACACACCATTTTCTTTACAACTCAAATCAAAACAAGCTACTAAAGCATGAGCTAGAGACAAGCCTTCTTTTCAGGGGACATAGTGCTCTTCCATTTGCAAAACTACACTGGAAACGTTAGCACATACTTCACAGTCTAAGCCAGCCTCCTACCTGTGACAGCGAGAAGAGCACCGAAGATTTTAATCAGGGCCAGAACAAAGGAGATTCCAAAGTATCCAGTAAGGGAAAACAGGAAGGCGTAGCCATAGGTTCGAATAGGGTTCTGCAAGGAGTAAAATGGCCTGTTAGAAAAATACAAAGCAAACCCTGAGGTATCAAACATGAAATCAAGGCACAGATTTTAATCAACCTCTGAGCAATAATAAGTCATTCCACAATGCAGTCAAGCAAACAGTATTTAGTTTTTATTTAATGGGGAAATACTGATGAAATGAAAAACCCTTGATTTGTACATTATGAACTTCTTAAAAATTAACTTACAGAGTAGAGAATGGGTAAAAAAAATTAAATATCAATCATTTCTGATCTGTAGTTATATTCAAAGAGTTATATTCAAAGAGTTAACAAATTATTATATCAACAGTAGCCTTTTTTGAACTAGGCAAAAACGGTACAGAAGAAATTATTAAATGTAAGATATTTATTTTTTTTAATGCGTACCTTTGAACAAAATGCCACGGCAGGGCCCAGTCCACTAGTGCATGACAGCCCCAACAAAATGTACACAAAGCCGATCGAATATGAATACAGCACCTGGAGAGGCACAAGTACAGCAGAAAATGACTGTCACACCTGAAGGGGGAACTGAAGGATTGAATACACGTGATAATTAATCTGCTCATCAATGCTACAAAACAAAATATCCTTAAAGCAACATTATCATTGCTTGATGCCTGAGGTTTTTAGAAATAATAGCTAATTCTAGATGGCCTATGGATCAATACCTAGATATATAGTATTATGTAACAAAAATCCATGGCCATATGGAACTTCCATATATGTTTACATTTTACTCATTTCTCAACTAATTGCTAAATTTGAAGCAGATGTTAATTGTATGCTTCCAAAAGCACAAACATGACAAAATCCTTGAAGCCACTTACAAGACGTGGTAAAAAAAAAAAAAACCTAAACACTGGAGTGTGCAAAAGATATGAGGATCACCACTGTAATTTCTCCACTCACTTTTCCCTGCAGCTTATTAGCCTGCTCACAGAGGGATATGCCCAAAAGCCTTTAACTGAGGCACCTGCCACAGGTCAGCTAAGTAACCCCCTATGTGGGCTACGACCCTGACTTGTCACAGTAAGACCTTTGACTTTGAAATGAAGACATGGAAGCTTCAAATAGTAATTTTGTCCCAAAGAAGAGCTAGGAAGTATCCTGGGACAGGAGCCGAGGCTTCAGTTTAAAGCCTGCCAACCTTTGTGCTGTCTTGAGTTCCCAGGTGACCTGAATGGTCTTAATTCTGACCCCATCTCTACCCTAGCAATGAACAGTAGTGAGTGTTAATATCTGCCAAAGTTCAAGTTCCTGTTAATTGAGATGCTACTTATGATGGCCCATGCTGTGTCCAGACAGCCAGGGAACATATTTGCTTCAATGGAGGGTGTTATATCTGATCAGCAAAGCAAGTGTGTTTTCACTATCTCTCATTCACACACACACACACAAGCGCGCGTGTGCACACACTCACACACACACATTTTCCTATATAAAAGCAAAACCAGGGCTGGAGAGATGGCTCAGAAGTTAAGAGCATTGGCTGTTCTTCCAGAGGTCCTGAGTTCAATTCCCAGGAACCATATGGTGGCTCGCAACTATCTATAATGAGTTCTGGTGTGTACAACACTGCATAAACAAACAAACAAACAAATAAATAAATCTAAAAAAAAAAAAAAAACAAAACCAGAAGATATTTTATCTGAAGAATATTTTTAAATCCAGTGGATATTTAAAAGGAACACTTAAGATGACTGGAGAGACAGCTCAGGAATTAAGAATGTGGATTCCAAAGTCAGGCTCTCAGCACTCATGGTGGGTGGCTTACCATTGCCTGTACCTCCAGCTCTATTGGGGATCTTGACCTCTGGTGGTACCTACACAGTCATGTACTCATGGACAGACACACAGACACAGTCACACACAGACTTTCTCTCTAATTTTATACAATTAAAAATAAAATGAAAATGTTTTTCATTTTACATTTGAAAAAAGGAAAGCCATACCTTGGCTTTATACTGAAAGAATCAAGTATACAGATGCCATACCCCTAAATTAGAATTTAATGCTCCATCCATTGAGAGTTCTAGTTTATGTGAGGGTATGAACACCTAGCAAACTGCTGGTAGAGAAAATCTTGAAAAGGAACAGAAATGGCTAGTCCCAACGAGGGGAAACGAAGGAAGCTGCACACGTTTCTATGGGCTGAGGCAAAAATCAATTTTAGAGAATTCATTCAATTCTGAGCCCTGTGTGAGGAATGTGAGATTTTTTTTTAAGGCATCTAAAACAAGTGGGAAGGGGGCAGTGTTTAATTAACAGAATTGGGTTTTAGCAGGATTAATTTAGTAAGAGATGAAAATCAGAAAACATGATTCACTATGCAGCATGAATGAAAATTTTAAAATCTTGAGTTGGAAGAACCTTTGACACATGGCCAGAAGCCATCAATAAGAATTATAAACTCCACATTGAGTTTATAATACAAAGAGAAATATAAACAGAAGAAAAACAATGTCATAGCTTTTTTTAAACAGATAGAAGATTACAGAAATTAATGAGAAAAATATTGATCAGTCATACAATAAGCTGTTAGCACTGACAGGTTTTCTTCTAACCCTCCACAGCATTCTCAGCGTTATGTTCAGAAAAACGAAGTGGATTAAAATGCACGTTAAGTCTTCGACACTGCAGCTATTTCATAAACTCAGCCTGGCGCCTTACAGACGCGAGGGATGCACAGGCCGCTCACCATCTCAGAGTTGGAAGCGTTGTGCAGCTTCATCGCTTTCTCCTGAACGTTCCCAATGACAGCGTCTGCACACAGCGCCAGGGAGATAAGCATCACACCTTCAAGGAATAAGAGAATGATCCTCTTTAAGCAAACTGACTGGAAGCAAGGTTGACCAGAAGTTTAAGTGCACTAAAAATCAAATGGAGACTTACTCCCATTTGGCTGGAATGCTGACTATTCTGTATAACTTGTTTTGGTAGACAATGGCTGAACATATAATCATAAAAAGATGGACACCAATAAACTGATTAATGCTGCCATCAGAACCACACTTCAGCATCACATCAAAGTTCTACTTTTAGCCTGGATGGCATGATGAAAGGAACAAGTGTAGAAACTCTTAGAGCTATTGGGATTGGTGGCTGCAAAAAATATTTGAGGGTAGAGAAACCCAAACATTTAGAAGAAAATCACACAAATAAAAAGTCTTCCTAAATGGTTCAATTTCAAAGAAACACATGGGAAGTTGCCAAGGTCATTTCTGTGGCATGGCGGCTGGACTGGAACTCTACACACTCATATTTGCTGTTTCCAAACTTTACAGGTAACATTTACTGAAAAGTACAGCTACGACTTAGGATCTTGGGAAACAACTGCAGTACCCAACCCTTTTGTAGTTTTACAGCCCTTCAGTTCCACAGCTGTCTCAGCCGGATCTAACCAAATAGTGATTTATTAGCCTGCGTCTGTCTCATCAGCTGGCCAAACTGTCTTGGTAACTGTTCACATAAGCAAGCCTCCCTTTCAATGTCCATGAGGATAACGTGAACAATATTGTCACACACTGAATGGCATCGCGCCTGCGTGATAGCACTCACTCCTAGGAAGCAGCATGCCGGCGTGCCACCCCAAGCTTCACGTTCAAAGGAAAGGGAGTCACAGTTTCATCTGGGGGTTTCAGTGGGCTCAGAGGCTTAACACATAAGCCAGCAGTTCTCAACCTTCCTAACGTCATGACTCTTAAATGCAGTACCTCATGCTGTGGTGACCCCAACCGTAACACTATTTCATTGCTACTTCATAAGTGCAATTTTGCTGTTATGAATTGTGATGTAAATATCCAATACAGGTTAGCTGGTAGGTCGCCCCTGTGAAAGGGTCGTTCAACCCCCAAAGGGGTTATGAGCCACAGGCCGAGAACTGCTGCTTAAAAACAAAGAGGGGACTAATGATCATCAATTTCTTTCAGGGAGTATGTCTGCATTCTAACTCAAAATGTGCCCATCGAACTCAGGAAAGACGAAGCTCCAGGTGCACAGGACACACCTTCCCTGGCTAGCTCGACCCTCTGTTGCTCTCCCACTGTTGCATGCGTACATTCTTCCTGATGCCACGTAAAGTCAAGACAAATGCAACTAACCCTTGATGCCCTTTACCCAAGAGCAGGACTAATTTGTTCTGGAGAGTTCTCGTCTCTCTTGATGTGATCTCTTTCAAACAAAGTCCCTTTTTCCTAATATTTAAACAGCACTGCAAATGGAGTATTGAAAGGAGTAAGGTTTGTCTTAATCTTTTATGGGAGTTTCATGTAGAAGGAATCTCTCGTGCATTGAATGGATATAACACCTGTCAATTAAAACCTACAGCCTATGCCTAAAGCAGGAAATAAGTGCAGAAAGGTTTCTGGGACAGAGGCATGTGTGTGAGATTCAGATGGCAAGATGTGACAATGGACACATGGTTCCTGAGCCCAGGTAACCAGCCATGTGGCAAAATGTAGATTATTGTAACAGGTTATTTTAAGTTATGAGTTAGTCAGAGAAGAGCAAAGCTATGTGGCCTAGATATTTGTAAATAATTATCTTGATTCTAATGAGTCGTTATTCTGTGAGCTTAAGGACGGGAAGAAAAACCACCTACAACATAAAGGCCTACTACAACAGTTTCATAAGTGGAGAAATTGCTTTTCTGACTCTATTGACTTGGAACAGCACACACAGCCACAAGGTTACCGTTCTCTACCCCTGTGCTGCTTTCAACACTTGCTGATCCAGAGATTAATCTTGTGTGTAGCCATACGGAACCTTATTTATGCACACACACTGTTGAGTCAGGGCATGAACAGGTCATCAAAGAGAAGAAGGCAACAATGTGCATCAGAGTCCAAAACACAGAAAGATTGATTACACTGTTTTTCTTAAAGGTTAATTTTAAACAGGAGAAGGATACAGTGTGTAAACACAATGAATGCATAGTTTTAAATCATCTCAAAGCACACTGTTAATCTGGTCACAGGTTAGGGGAAAATGTGATTCCTAAAGGCAAGCTTCAAACATCATGGAAAATTGTTCCATCTTCTACCATCTCGTTTTTCCTCACACCAGCTCTGTAGGAGGCGAAGTGTTCTTTTCACCCTATTGGAGGATGGCAAAGGGCCTGCAAGTCACTCATTCTTGGTTATGTTTTTGGTAACTTTAATTTTGCTCACTGCAAATTTGTGCCTTCTTTAGAGAACAAGAAGAGCCAATAATGTATGTTCTCAAGTATACTCTTGATGTGAAAGTCTGTGATGTAAAAATGAAGATTTCCTGTAAATTTCTGACCCTGGTGGTAACAGCTGCTACCATAAGCATTCTCTGAAATCAAGCAGTGAGGTTCCAATGGAGCTGAGGCACGAAGGTCCCTCAGGACTGTGGTTGTTCTGTGGCTCTTACCCCAAGAGGCTCAAATGGTTATATTTAAACATATTAGCTCAGGTTGGTTAATTATGGCTAGTAAAGCTGACTGATAACTGGTCTGCTTCTTGAGAACAACTGTGAAGCTACTGTAACCAATACCTTTGTAAAAGAAATGATTAGTTTATACTTTGTGCTTGCTGGCATTCCAATATTGCCTTTCACTTGTTTCCTTAGGTGTTTTCTTGTTTTTGTTTTTCTGATCTATAAACTTTAAATGCTACTTTAGTCAAGATACATGATGTGATAACACTGTGCTCTCAGTAAAACTTTTAGTACCTTTAGGAAAATACTGTATATAAATAATGTAAAGTAAATGTTCCAAATACCCATACACGATTTATCTGGTCATTAAAATAAAAAGAGGATTCTAATGTTTATTCTTATCCCTGGATATGCTGTAACACTTATTTGGCTTTTGAAAATCATAAACTTCATTCGAAAAGTTAGCACAGCACAAGTAACAGTTCTATTCAGATTACCATCCTGACTGCCCCACAATTCCTGTGTGTATGTACAGATCAGAATGACTACCTCTCACGTCTAACAGCTAATGAGGTAACTGGGAGCCTCCTGTCATGAACAGTGTTTTATCTCTAGAGTTTTGTACTGTTACTACAATTTAGAATGTCTGAAAGCCTTGCTAAGTGCGAGACTCATGGTCATCCTGCCATCATTTAAAATCCTCATGCAATTTTACAAATTCTTATTCAAAATACTTAGGAATACAAATACATTCCTCACCTGTCAGATTAAAGTTTGGTGCAATTGTGCTGTCAGCCAGGGTAAACCATATCAGGCCAAGACTCATGCACACTGCAGCAGACACATCTGCAAAGTTGTACCGCTTTCCTAGGTAAGACAAAGGGAAGCCAGCCTCATTATGCAAAGACTTACAGTCTACAGTCAGATCACAGTGCCTCACCAAGCCGAATAGGGACATGCTGGTCATGCCCAATGCTCCAAACATAAAGAGCACTCAGATCAAGGCACACGACAATCTCAGGAGGTTTAAGATTAAACCAGGCACCACATGTTCTTGTAAAATAGAAATGAGATCTTATTTTATCTATCACGATGGGAAAACAAAACAAAACCCAAAGGCACACATATGCATTGCTTAATGATGGGGATGTGCCCCAAGAACACACCTGAGGATTCTGTTGCCTGACATCAGGACACTTACATAGACTGAGATGGCCATGATGTCACTGGGCAAATTTATCTCACAGGAGCATTTTCACATACACAGTCTCCTGGTGACCAAAGCTCCCTTACACACTACATGACTGCAATTTGTGAAAAGTATTAAGAGTTAAAGGTATATGTTCCAATTTTAACAATTTGTAGAAATGAGTATGCCTTTTACTTAATAAAAGGCTACAGATTTTCTTGTAGTTTGAAAGTCGGAGGCAAGAGAGTAATAGTCCTGGCTTTTTTAAAAATCACTTATAAATACCATATGAACATCCTTAGGCAGGGGAGAAGTCACTCATTTTCCTCTGCCTCTATTTAGAAAATGGTATGTATTTGAAATTCTGGTAAAGATTCTAGGAAATATATGTGCCTAATCAGAATTGTTAATGGAGACTGAGGTATTTCTTCCACACAAACAGCCACTATCCTAAGATGTCCAGTGAGGTGGCTGACACATTTCCACTGTGAAAGGTCAGCTCTGGGAAGGCACACTGTGAGCAGGCTGCCTAAGCCCTCAGTGCTGGAAAGAGCCTCAAGACAGGGACCAGGTAACAAGTTGATCCAATGCTTGTCGCTCTAACTGCCTCCTCTTCCCACCCATCCTGACCCAGACGGGCTCTAACTCATCAGAGCTGGTGCAGGCAGGGAAGAAGTGGGTCCGCTCATGCGGGTTCATTCAGGCAGTCTTCACTATGTGAATACAGCATTGTGGGGAATGCATTAAATTCTGAGATAAAATAATAAAACAAAACACTGGCTTTTTTTTTTTTTTATGAACCTCAACTACTACAATATGTTAGAGAAATACCGATGCTTTTATGACCCTATTTTTACTTGATACTACACTATTACAACATCTAGAATGTTTAAAAAAATTGTGGACATTTACTGCTTTTCCTAATGCCAGATGCCACAACATAGTTGTGTGCTTCAAACAGTATAAAACGTATCATTACTGTACCTTGAATAAAAACTCCTCCTAGCATAACAGGAATCAGTTTGCAGCACTTGAAGATGACTTGGGTGGGGTAATTCAGGTAGCCCAAGGAAGTGTTTGATAAGCCCATAGTACCCACAGTTAGAAAAGCTATTATCATGTAGGTTTTTCCTGGTATTCTGGAAGAGACAATTTTTAAAACCTTCATTGTGGGACCCAGTTTTATAGTACTTTAAAGATGATGGCTTACAGTGTGCTTCGCTGACTTCTGGTTAATGTTTCTAGAAATACACATTTAAAAAGCATTACTTTCAAGTTATAACACTATTTGTACATGTATTGATAAAAATCACAATATATTTTACTGAATCATCAATGAGGAATCTCAACTGTGTTATAATAGAGACTCAATGAGATTTCAAACTGATATATAAATGCTAATCAAAGATTTTTTTTACAGTAGCTCTAGGTTTAGAAAAATTATCTTGATTTAATTCATAAAAGAGATGATTTAAAAAAAATTATGGGCCTCTACAATGGTAAAAGGCCCAGTCACTAAGGTTGTACGCTAACATTTACAGTGGTGCTGTCTCCTAGCTTTCCCATCCAGCATTAGGAAAATCTGACCACCACAACGGTCGAAGAACTTCTCCAGAAAGGGCTCGACTCCATGCGGGATGTTAACAATCTACTGTATAAACCACCTCTATTTTCTACATTACAGCAATCGGCTTCGGGTAAAGTTTCTGATGCTGTTTTTGTAGCCTTGAATTTGTAACTTGGCTCTACCAGGGTTTCCTGAAGGAGATTCTGAATGTGTTATCTTTAGAACTTTAAGCCACTAATATGGGTGTATACTCACTCTTGAGTAATTAATAAGTTAAAATAATAATCTGGTATACTGGTGTGATGGACACAAAAAGGCCCTAGTCACTTAATTATGCTGTACCTTTACATGCAATTTACATTTAGGCATTGGTACTGGCACTCAGGCATAAGAGTATACTTCCTTTTTCTCTTTTCTTCCTTCTTTTCTCTGTAACAGGAAAACCTTTAGCTTCTTCCGACTGACTTCTTGCATGATGAGATGTCAGGCATGTGCCACCAAGCCTGGCATAAGTGGTGGTGGTGACTGAACCCAAGGCCTTATGCATGCCAGGCAAAGGCTCTACCAACTGAGCTAAAACCTAACTCTACAAATCTTTTATATGGGTAGATAGATATGCACTAAAATAGTTTACTGAAAACTTCAACTGGAACACATTACTTACCCTCTCAACTCTGAGGTTTTTCCTTCGTAAGTGCTAATATAGGAGTCTCCATTTAAAAGTCACTACAAAGAACCGGCCTGCGCATATGGTGTCCTTCAATTACTACAACTGTATTTCCTCAGTGTCCCTGCCATCTGCCCAATCACTGTCCTTATCAGCAAAGGAGGAACCATCACTCTCCTGGCTAAGGATACAAATCACAACCATCAAATTTCCTCAAAGATAAACTCTGAAAAATGGTGGCCAGAAAGCAAAAATTCCAGTCAGCAAACTTAGGAGAAATGGTTACAGAAGCATATTTACAGCAGAAAGGGGTTGTCCTAAGGCAGAGGGTCTAACCCCCCAGAGGAACTGGCTAGAGAACCTTATAAAAATGCCAGCCCTCCTCTAGGTCCTGCTTCCTCATGGGTAATGAGGAAGCAACAACAGCTAAAAAGTTGTTTGGTGAGCAAGAACATCATGTTTCAAGCATATAAGCCGCCTGTTACTCCTAAATCTAAGCAAGTCTAGAGTTCAGAGAATCCCCTAGCCTTCAGAGAGCCAATGAGAGCTCAAACCCTGATCTTTAAATCCTAAATCTCATTCTTGTGCTAAGTTAGCATTACTATACAGATCAAGGGAGAAAAGAACTAAGCAGAGTGTAGGCCAAAGGCTAAGTCAGCAGCATTCAAGGAAGTTCAGAAATCATGTATGTTAAAGACAAAGCAGCCCTGTGGCTGGACAAGGCTCTGTGGTAAAGCACCTCTAAAGACAATGTGCCTTTTAAAGAAACAGCTTCAGTTCACAACTGTACTGACTTTAAATCTAAAGACTCACCCTTCAAAATCTTTCCATGTTCAAATCAAATGCAAGTTTTATTTTTATTTTCAAATATCTGATCACATGGCTAGAAAGCTGAGATAAAGTAGCCTGCACCATCTCTCATCTGGCTGGCCATCTAGGGAGGAACTTTTCAGCAGGCTGGCAGACACTGGGGGAAGCTTCCTTCTCAAACTCAGCAGACAGGAGCAGTACCCTGACTTCTACTCTGAAGCAGCACTTTCTGAGAGATAATGGATCATCAGCTCCTCACTATTAGTCTTGGCAATTCTACTTACTTTCTAGCCTATCACCCATGTTTTATCTTGAGTTTTATAGCAAGCATGAAAGCAATTCGGATGATATTCTCACACTTGAGTACTTAACTACAGCTGCTGTAACAATAAACCAGCAGAACAATTAAATCTATAAAGAAATTTGTTAGACTCTTCCAGTAAGAACCTTGTGTAAATGGATTTGAATATTTCAAAATTGAATAGTTACCTACATATGCACTTTAAAACAATTATATGTAGAAAAATAAAAAGCTGTGATTTTTAAGACATTAAACATTTATACAAAAGATGGAATGTCAGCATTGCCTTTATTATCTTTTAGCTGTCCCACAGATATATGAATATATGCATCCTAGACATGATAAAAGGATAACTACGCTTCATTTACTTCCAAACTGCATGCCCACATTCTTAACTACCTTCTGTTTATGGTCACAGTATTACTGTATTTTGTTTTATACACCATTAAAGATAAACCAATGTATTTTTTTTCAAATCTATATGGTTACTAATTTAAAAGATTTTTCAAATAAGAGTTCTGCATTTAACCAAAAGAAATGTGTTCCTTCAATATTTAGGAACGCAGATTTCCAAGCCAAGACAATGTGGGAAACGGGCTCGTAAGCAGAAGGGAAGCTCATGGGGCTGGGAGTTAAAAAAGGAAGGGTGGGGTAAAAGCCTGCACATGCGAAACTGCCATAGAACAAACCAAATCAATTAAAAGAACAGAAATACTGGACTGTCAGATAAGGCAGTATTAGTAGCTGTCTCCTTGTGACTTGGTGAAGAAACAGCAGTATAAAAAAAGATTCTATTTCAAGACTGTGTATATACCAAGAACTAAGTCAAGACAGCTGTGGCTGCTGTCTGGTGGGAGTAGGGGTGGAGAAGAAGCCTCATCCAAAAGGGTAGTCAGTCCTGGTGAAGACACAGCTCAACCCTTGAGAAAAGGCCAAAAAGAGCCTGATTCCATATGGGTTTTGGTGAGAGACTGATGTTTCATGTAGACAGGTCAGTGCTGAAGAGGAATCCCACTGAGAGGGCAGTGGCTGGGTGCCACTGAGGGAACGCAGTGCTCAAAATTTATCTACTTGGGTGGCCTGAAAGCCACCAGAGAACCAGAGAACCCGCTGTATGTCTGAGAACTCTGAAGTCCCAGCAGGCTGCCTGACATTCCTCCAAGGGAGCAATGAACATTCAAGAGGGCTGCAAAGTATAGGTGCTTTGTCTGCACAGACCTCAGAGCTGTGTGTGAGCCATGTTCCTAGCACACTTGGAAGATGGCCCCTCCAAGCAGAATTTCAGTGACATCAATACTAGCTAAGGAGTTGTAGGATGGTGGGGGTCTGCCCAGCACAGACTACAGAGATTCTACTATGTCAACAAGATCTACACCAAACAAGTGTTCACTACCACACAAACCACAGCAAGGACAACAGGCCACAAGGCCACTTTCCTCTGGCAGCAAGAAATTAACAGAACCCACAGAGAGGTGGCCACGGCTGCAGCCTTCCATCTTCAACCTTTTCTTTCTTGGGTACATTTTATAGTGTTTTCATTTTATCATATTTAAAATAGATACATGTTTTTACTTTTCTCCTTCATACATTCATCTAATTCTGGTTAGCCTTTTATTTTCATTACTATGCAAGCATTTTTCTTTTCTTTTTTTCCCCCTCACTTTATATCTCCTATGTTTTCCTCCATTTCTTTTAGCAACACTCTGACCTTATTTTAGGAAACAAATACACCCATCTTTTTATTTTTTTATTCTCTTTCCTAGTATTTGTCTAATTTTGCTTTTGATTTTTCTCATTATTAGAAAATCTTGTTTTCTTTAAATTTTTTTCTCGTTCCTTTTGTAACATTCTATTTCCTTTTCTTTATTTAACCTTGCTTCTTTCCTACTGCTCCTCCTTTCTAGCTCAATCATTCACTATTTCCATATTTTACTACAATCCTTAACATTATAGCAATCCTACATTAACTTTTGCCATTGTCGGTTTTACGTCACTGGTGATATGTGAGCTGTATTTAACCCCCTTTGATGTTGCTGCTGTCACTGTGGTTTGTACTGGGAATCGACCCTTCAAGAAAGACTGCTTAAAAAGATGATCTCCAGATAGAACTGGAAGGGGTACCCAACCCAAGAGGTGTGTTGCACGGCTACAAAGAAACACACACACACACAAATGCACATACACAGGGGAGAGCGCGCAGCATGACTTCAAAAGACTAACTCATTTACTGAATTCAATGATATTGCTGAAATGGTGTCAGATGAGTCTTTAAGAGCATAATAGTCAAAATGACAGGTGATCTTAAAAAGTATGCAAACAAGCAGCAGGATAAAACCGAGGACCTGGAGTGGAGCCAGCAACATTAAAAAGGTAGGGGTGGTGGTGGTAAGAAATTCAGCAGTATGGATGGGAAGTTGGGTAAGGGGGAAAATCAACAAAGAAACTGAGATTTTGAAAAATATAAAAAGGAAACAAAAGCCAGTGGATCAAATAAAAAAACAGTGGAAAGCACTGACAAGACACCTGACTAAGCAGAACAAAGAGTTTCAGGGACAGAGGTCACAGAAGACAAACATCACATTCACTGCTAAAGAAAGAAACGAAGGGGTGTGACCGCAAAGTCCAAGAGCTCTGGGATCCAAGCAAAAGACCAAACCTAAGAACCTGGGGAGGAAACTTAGGTAAGAATGACTGGCACACAGCCTATAAAACCAGAGCAGAAAATGTCACAGATCTAGAGAACAAAATGGACATCCAAACACAAAAGGTCATTTAGAGTCCCAAACAGACATAACCAGGTAAGAATGTCTCCATGGCATACAGTAGCCAGGACAACAAAAACACAGAAACAAGCTCCAAAGAGGAAAAGGAAAACAAAGCTTACCCACAGAGACACAAACATCAGAGTAACGCCAGAACACTAGCAGCTTCAAGCCAGGAAATCATGGAATGACACAGTTCAAATCTGCTGACCCAGTGGCTACATTCAGCAACGCTATCTTTGAAAACTGATAAAGAAATATGAATATTTGAAGATAAGAGAAAATTAAAACAGTTCATGATCACCAACTTAGCATTCCAGAAGATACCTAAAGGAATACTATACACAGGAAAGATGAAGAAGCAGTCTCAGTCAAGAGAAATAAGAAAGTATGACTTTCACTAGAGGAACAGATAGGAAAAGAGAACTCAGAAGTAATCATCATGTCCAATGCAGTAAAACCAGCAAATCCCTAACAGTAGGAAAAAAGAACAGACAATAATCTAAGCAATACAATTACAGTGATTAGTAAACAGTTTCCAAAGAAAGATAAAGGACCTCAACAGTAGAAGACTTCAACTCATAATAAAGAGATACAGATCAGCTGATGTATTAAATACAGAAACTGCTGTTTCCAAGAAACATCTATCTGGAGGAGCCTCACAGCCTGATAGTCAAAGATGGAAGTCAACTGATCAAGCAAATGGAAACCACACACAAGGTGGTGTAGCTTTTTGATAGCTGATAACTTAAAATCAAATAAGGACAAACAGTAAAGAAAGTCAGCATACAGTAATAAAGGGAAAAACTGAACAGCAGTTATAACTATTGTAAATAAGTATGCATCAAACGCTATGGCTCATGATTTCATACAAATATTAACAAGCATAACTTCACTTAGGTATGAGTACAATATAGTGAGAGATTTCGTTACCAACTCTCACCTTAGATAGGCCATTCAAACCAAAAATCTATAAGCAAGCTTAGTTAAACTATGCCACTGGTCACCTCAGGAAGGTCTCGCTCAATATATACAAATCAATGTAACATACCACATAAATGACCTTAAGGACAGAAATCACAGGATTGTTTTAATATATTAGAAAATATCATGCACGAAGTTCAATACTCCTTCATGAGTAAAACTCTTCAAGAAGCTGAGAACAGAAGACTCATCAACAAAATCAAGGCTCTAAATGACAAACCTATGGGCAATTTTATACTCAAAGTGCTCAAAATCTTAGCTACTGGGCCAACAAGATGGCTCAATGGGTAAACTCACCTGCTACAAAGACTGACAACCTGGGCTTGTTCTCTGGGACTCAATGTGTAGTTCGAGAACTGGCTCCTGAAAGCTGTCCTCAAACCTACTCTCACTAAGCACATGCTGTTACACTCAAGCTTTCTCTTCCTTCCTCTCTCACACAAACATAATACAAAGAGAAAGAACTAAAAGAAACACAAACAGGAAAGGGAAAAGTCAAATCATCCTTATTTGTACACAATCTGACCTTATATTTAATGAACTTAATTTCCTGAATTTAGGTATATGATATTTATGAGGTACCTGAAATTAGAAAAGGGACAATGAGAATGGAGGAAGAGATCTTAGGTGGGGAGAAGAGAAAAAAAAGACAGGGTAATCAAATACCTGAGACATAAAAGCAGGAGAGGGGACTACCTACATGGAGGGAGGGGCAAGAGCAGAGCAGGTAAGATGTGGGATGGGGTGAGCTAGAACAATACAGACACATGTACATGAGAATGCCAGAATAAATCCCTTACTATTAACTAATCAAAAAAATAACACCGCAGATCTCAGCTACTAGGCACTTCATGACAAAGACAATGGGATATAGCTCACAAAACATTGACTTCACACTTCAAAAACTATTAGAAAACCCAATCCTGGTCTTTCACTGAGCCACGGCCAAGTTGGTATGTTTTATATCTTTCACTAGGCATGCTTACTTTGGTCAAGTCATGAAAATGTCTATCTGAGCATTGTGTTTGAGTGAGTGTGCTTAACTATGAATTGTCTCAAGCTCTATGTGATTTTGTGGCACTTAAAAAGGAGAATTTACTTTTCTTTTTCTGGTGCACAAAAGAAATAGATTTATTATTTTAAATAGGTAGTTTATAGTAATAAGGACTCATGATCAGATGTTAGCAGGAAACGTACAGTTCAAGCACATTCAGCAAGCTGACTTGTTTTTTTTTCCAGATTCAACTGATGCAAGTAATATTAACTCCCCAGAAAGCCAAACACACATACCTTCTCCTTTTGTCCTGAATGAGCTGAAGTTCTATTAGGCCAAATATGGAGTAAAATGCAAACTGTACTAATGTAAGGTACCAGCCGTAAGGCTTAAAGCCCTCCATTGAAAAGATCAACTCCTGTTAGAAAACAATGAGTGCTGTTAGGTTCAAGGCGGAGATGACTTCCAGTCAACTGTTAGAAGCACATTTAAGAGAAACTCCGCGTACTCCCAACTCCACTTCACCCCACTCCAGTCAGATCACAAGGCTTCATAAGATTACTTAGGCATGAAAATCAACAGAGAGGCAACTAAAATGCAACAGCTTCTTATGCGTCTCCATTAAAAAATAAAAAAGGACCAAATGAAAGTTGCCCCAAACAAAATAGGTGGCTATTTAAAGAATCCATGTGAAATACTTATTTCACTAAAAGCCAGGTATCTACAAGCTGTTTGTTGTTGTTTTTACAGGAACAGTGTTCATATTATAGCATTTTAAAAATTACATGTCAGATTCTCTAAAAATCTTCCTGGTATAGGGGATGTTTAATTTCCCTAAACACAGAGTATGTGCCTTTTTTTTTTTTTTTTCTTTTTTTGAGACAGGGTCTTGTGTAATACAGGCTAACCCCAAACTCACTACTTAACCTAGGATGACACTGAACTTCTGATCTTCCTGTCTCTATATCCACAATGCTAAGATCCTAAGCATGTGCGATCATCCTGTTTAAGAAGTGTTGAGACATGAACTCAGGGCTTAGGCGTGCTAGGCAAGCACTCTACCAAAAGAGCTAAATTTCCAGCTCCTAAATACAATATTATATTATGAAATAACATGTAGATAAATTACTAGTCAGCCAATAAGAAGTAACAAGTTAATAAGAAGTAGACACCGAACAATGCTTAACTCATTCTCTTTGTAAAAAAATCAACGTGTGTGTGTGTGTGTATGTTACTAGATGCTCAGAGGTTAAGAGCACTGTTGTTCTTGCAATGGTCCAGGCCCATTTTCTAACATCTATATGGGAGCTCACAACATCCTTTAATTCCAATCCCAGGGGATTCAATGCCCTCCATTGGCTTCTTTGGGCAACAGGCACACACGTGGTACACTTAAATTTATACAAGCAAAACACTCATACACATAAAAAAAAAAAAAATCAGTAAGTTTTTAAAGATATAAACAGAGCTTCAATTATCTATATTTTGTTAAATATTTATAAATTTACTTTCATAATTTTGCAAGCTAGCCTTTCTTTCCAATTTATGATATTTGGAGATAATTATTTTTACTCTCAGTAACCCCTTTAAGGGGCTATTATTCTAAAAAAATCTCAAGCCATGAGTCAATTGGTAGCCTGTAAATAAAAATACCAAGGTGAAGACAAGCAGTCAAAATGAACATGGACATTAAGCGCTAAAGTAACATTATTAACAAGTGACTACTTTTTACCTGTAAGTATCCATAAATTAGGTAAAATACAAAAACTCCAGCAACACATATGAAAAACTGTGTGAGCTTGTTAAACTTGCTGAGGTTTATGCCCAGCACCACAATGTCATCAACTGACTTGATGTGTGGTGACATTGTCTGGGTTTTGGAGGGCACAGTGATGGAGACATATTTCCTGGAGTTGTTGAACTTGAGGTCCATTGTTCCTGCTTTGCCACATTCAAGTCCTTCAACCTTGTCTTTGCTCTTTTCCACTGTTGGGTCTTGTCTTTCCTTTGCCGGCTGGGCCTAGAAAAGAAAATAAGCAGTTACGGCAAATCACTTGGCCTATGAAGTAACAGATTCAAATAACAATCCCAAGTACACTTTAAAAGTTATAAATGCAGCTGACTCTTTCTGGACATCAGTGTTACCATCCACACTCTAGCTCCCAAACAAGCAAATACAAGACCTACCTGACTCTTGCAGCATTGGATAGCATCACATTCATCTCCTTAGCAACCAAAACTAGGACTACACGGGCTAGTGTGCTTTTTTTTCATCTACTATATATCTAACTCTAATAAAATAAAAAGGAAAATCTTTTCAAATCATAGCCAACCTTGTAGAAGAATAAAGAAAAAGTAAAGCTTAGGGCCGGCAACCATACACTCTATTTGCTGGTCAAGTTGTAAAAATAAAGTCAACTGTGTGAGATTTAGCGACACCATTCTTAGCCTGAAAGATAAAAAAAAAAGTATGTAGTCCAGGCTGGGTAGGAAGTGACAGTCTGCCTTAGTGCCTTGAGCACTGGAGTTAAAAGCATGCACCACCCAACTAAGAAGAGTCTCCTACCCTATGGAGGAAATTATTCTACTTTAAAGTCTTTGGACTGTAAAAGGCAGAAAATATGACTTTTTTTTTTTTTTTTTTTTTGTCAGTGAAAAAAACTGTGATGGTACCATTGATGACTGTCAGTTTCTCTTCGAATTTACCTATATTGAAAATAATGAATTCCATGTAAACACTAAAGGAAGGGCGGAACCACAGAGAGCACACAGGAAGACTGTTTTCCCGGATGGTCTCACTGCTGGCATTCCAGGAAGTGCAAAACTGAGGGCAGGAGAAAATGAGTGTGACAGGGGGCTTCACTTAAAAAATATAAAAGAAACTGTCCTGTGATAGTTTGAAATGACAAGAACTAGAGTCACCTCTCAGTGACTGCTTCTAGTAAGCTAAGCTGAAGACATTAAGGAGACCTCATTCGTCCTACCAACAGGGCAAGGGTCTATGTGCAATCAAACTAGCAGGATGTAGGCACCAAAATATTCACATTATCCTACAGGGGATACCTGCCCTATGTCTACACTTTATGAATACTTTTCTGTGTGTGTGTCCTTTTCTTCATGCTTTCCTTCTTTATTCTGGTTTCCCTTGCCAAGTCTAAATTATTCTTATTTCCATAAGATTGTTTTAAGCCATGTTGTAAGACACCTTTGAAGTAGAATTTTCATGATAATCCATGTTTTAAATTGCCTACCTCCCATTGTCCTATTTCAATACTGAGGATAAAATGTTCTGAACTATTTTCTATGTGCACAGTGACAGAACACAGCCTCTCTTCCCTGATTTCTTTCAAAAAAAGGCCTAAACCACTCATCCAATCCTAAAACCAGCAGATTTCCAAATGTCCTAGTGTTCTGTGCATGGTGCCCTTTCTGCTCTCTGTCTTCTTTCTTTGGGTCAGATTTAAGTTCAGCACTGACACCCCTTCTTTGTGATAACCTCCTTGATCCTTCTAGTAAGAAGACAAAGCCCAAACCCTACTGGTCTCTACATCTTGGTATCTGACATGCATCTTTTAATCCATAACACCTTCTAGACACTCTCAGACCCCAGCTCGTATCAGCCCTCACTTGGACACAGTTTTGGAAGGACTACGGCATGGGCAACCTGGGGGTAGCAAAACTGAAAATGCATAGTAAGAACAGGGAGACAGTGTAGATAACAATGTTACTCTCAGGCACGCACACACACACACACACACACACAGAATGATTCTTATGAGACCTCCTTCCTACTGTTACTGACATCGGAATATTTCTCCAGAAGGCTTACCCTCTTCTAAAATGTTCTTAGTTAACTGAACTGCTGAGTGCACAGCATTAACTACAGCTAAGGGTGTAAGAAAGCACCCCATTCTGTGGAACTTTGAGGTCTGGGCATGGTGTCACCTGAGGAGTTATGGGCAAAGTAACGTCTCCGAGATTCCTGTTCTGTATCTCTACTGGAAAAAGTAAAATGTGTTGACTAAAGATTATTTTTGTGGAACCCATGAGACACATGTAAAAGCGTGTGACACACAGTGTGACAGCCCATGTGTGTTAGCTTTCATTATTCAGCTTTTCAGAAACACTGTGAAGTGGTCTGGTGTGCTCAGGTTGATTCACCCTCCTGACACGAAGCAGAAAACGGGGATCTGATTTCCCACCCAGGCTGCTCTACAAATGTCTCTTCTACTGCCTGATATATGATGCTACAGCACAATACAACAGTAACAACAACAAAAAAGACACTGAACTGAGGGACTCTCTTGTGCTCTAGTAAACATGCGATCAACATTGTTCCATTCCATTTCCCCGACCACTTTAACACTCTTACATACTTCCTGGCAGCCTTATGAGCTGCAGTTCCAGGCTGCACGTGCCGGTAAATACCTTCAGCACTACCCTTTTTAAACGCGTCCAGCACACCACTCGTCTCTCCTGAACCCCTACAAAGCAGTTGGGATGAACGAGGAAATGGATTCACTATCACCGCTTCCGTGATGCCTCAGTACTTCCCCCTCAAATGCCTGGCAGTTAGTGTGTGGTTTCACACTGCTGCCCTCTGCTCTGTCACTGTGCACATAGAAAATAGGCCAGAGCACTTTTCCCTGAGACACAGGGAAAATACATCACTGGTCAGAAAGCATGACTGATGAAGGCCTCTGTTACTCTCAAACTGTGATCTCTGATGTTTGCAACCTCACTTCTGTTTCTAGTATTAATATTTGACATTGTTATCTAAAGAATCAGAGCCAGCGCTGGAGAGATGGCTCAATGGTTAAGAATGTTTATCACTCTTGCAGAGGACCCACGTTTGGTTCCCAGCACCCATGTTAGGGGTTTTGCAACTGCCTGTAACTTTAGCTTCTGATCAGAATCGCATTCGTCTTATGCATATATCCATAAGTGTATGAGTGTACATGTATACACATAAACACACACACACACACACACACACACACACACACACACACACAATAATACAAATAAATCTTTAAAAATAAAAAACAAAAACCAAGGACAAAGTCCTTAAGGTACAGAGAAAAAGCCTAAACTACATAGAGAATTTAACACCAGCCTGGGCTACAGAGATCTTTTCTCAAACAAACAAAAACCCAAGAACAGGATTACTGGATTAAAAGTTTTCAAATCCAATAACCAATGCCTTGCTTTGCTTTAGAAATTCACAATAACTTCTGAGACTAAAACAGAAAGAAATCATGAAAGTGGAGCTCTGCCTTAAGTCTCTGCTTAAACCCAACACATTAACTTCAGCACAATGAAGGTAGAAATAACAGCTAAAATGGAATTAAAAGGAAGTCCTTACAGTAAGCACATACTGTAGACTAAAAAAAAAAAAATCAGAAACAGGTGATGTTGACTTACAATGACATACTGAAATAAAAGCTACTCATTTCTTAAAAAAAAAAAAAAAAAAAAAATCCGTGCGTACATGCCACAGATGGCAGGCACGTGGAGGTCGGAAGACAATTAGTGAAAAGTCGATTCTTTTCTTTCCTGGTTACAGGGACCAGGCTTGGGAGCAGGTGCTCTTACCTGTTGAGCTAGATCTAGCAGGCCTCAGCTTAGCTCTTAATCTAGTCTTTTTCTAAAATGCAAGATGAAAGCTAAAAAAAAAAATCTATCATGTGCACAGCCTGGAAAAAGACCCAACTCCACCCCAATTTGCCACACTCGGGCCGAACAATCTTCACGATCTCCATTGCAGTGTATGGAATAAGATTATAAAGCAGAAAAACAAGACTGGGATTTCTTCCACACACCTCACAAAGTGTGAGAGACTGGTGATTTCTGAAACTCTTCCCCCACCAAGGCTAAAATTAGGATTTAATCTATTCTTTAAACAGAAGTAATGCTATCTAAAATATTTTTCAAATGCTGTCAGTGTCTGTCCTCCCCCCCCCCCCCCCAAACTATTTCAACTCACTTAGAAGAAAAACGTTCAACTAAAATTCCGGATTCTGATAACGTACTGCAGAAGAAATGCAGGTGTAATTCTTCACAATACAAAACACAACAAACAACTCTTGAGAGCGTACTAACAAAATCAGTGTTTTGTTTTTCAGAAGAGGAGGAAGAGTAAGGGGAAGAAGGGTGGGCGGAGTAGGAGGAAGAGAACTCGGCTGCAAAGCCGGAAACCACACACCGGGAGTTCAGCGACATAAACTTAATAGCCCTGCAAGAATAGTCACTTCGCCGCAAGGCAAACAGGCATCGGGTAACGGCGGCACCGGACACAGACCCAGAAGTGGTTCTGAGCTGCAAAAACAGTCTAGGGAATCCGGGAGCCCAACAGCCTCCAAGCGCGGGAGAGAACTAGGGGGGTCTGGGCCGTGCTGTCAGGCCAGGACCGGGGACCCTCTTCCCGGAAGCGCGCGCGCCCCCGCCGCCCCCACGACGGCGTCCACCTTCTGCGCTGACACGGTGTGAGCGCCCACCCCAGTCCTGCCTGACCGCAAAGGCCCCCTCCCAGCTCCGCTACTGTCACCTCCTCCGCATCCAACTTCGCCTCGGGTGCTGCTCCGGCGCCGGCCACCGCCGCCGCCGCCGCCG